ATCATGTGGTTACATCGATAGCTGCACAGTAAAAATAACCGTGTAACTATTTTCCAGTACATAACTGCAGGATTTTCAAGTATTATTTCATGTAGTAGGTAATTATTCTGTATGCTTCCAGCAGTCCAAGTCACAGGTAATTTTTTTGTCTGGCCTGAAATATTATCTGGCTTAATAGAAAGATTTTCCATAGATGTGAAATGACACAATGTCACAACAGAAAATTGTATCACACAAACACACAACACCAGGTGTGAAAAGGAAAGTAAAGGTCATCTGTTGCAGGTATTCTTCCTGGTTTATTTTCAGAGATGCTCTCAGGTTGTTTCTAGTAGCTTCAGTTTGGAAAGTGGGGGAAGGATCTTGAAGAATGGTTAGAAGATTATCCATACAAGGTTTCATCTATTGACATTACTCAGTAACTGTTGTAATTTTGAACACTGGGTTTAAAGACCTTCAGAGTGAAATGGTAGCAGAACAATTGGCTCAAGAAGGTTTAGCCTCTTCTCAGATCTTTAAAAAAAATATGTTGAATAGTATATCTTGATTTTTAAGACAAAAGGCAGTTTAAACTGAAGCTGAATCCACAGTCCTGTCTTGGCCTCTATTCCCTTACGCACATTGCTCCATCCAGAATTTTATGGCTCAGAAAACTCATCCTCAGCACAACTTGTAGTTCAGGTGTCTGCGACTGCACAAGGTCAAGGATCAGCTTCTCCCAAGCAGAAACAAGGGTGCATCTCCCAGCTTGACTACCACTGGCTGGCTGGAAAAACTTAATGATTGTCAGCTTGGAAGCTGAAGAGCATAATAATGTGCAGTGTAGTCATATTTTAGCCACCTGCTATGTACACTGCCCAGTAAATAACTGTGCTTACATATAAGGTTGAATACAATTCTTTGTGCAGAATTTGTGCACGCAGTAAAAGCCAAATGAAATTGTCCTAGTAGATAAAAGGTTACAGGGTCGCTGAGAAATGCATGTCATGTACCAATTTAAGAGCATGAAGAATTAAATAATAAAATAAGCCAGAAATAAGCCAGAAACTGGAGTCGGTAAAAAAATTCCAGACCCTTTTTGCCTTGTCCTCCAGAAAGCTCCAGACAAAGCTGAACCCAAAGCGACATTTCTCAGGATCTATCAGAATAATGCATTTTGTCAATTCCTCATGCCGTCTACAGGCAGAAAGGATTAAAAACAATCTTTTCACAAGCCTCTAAGAGACTGTCCTGCTGGGGACAGTTTGTCTTCAGACAGTCTTGTTTACAAGTGGGATCATTGTAATGTTTGCCTCAACAGCCGAGGAGAGACTGGCTGTCTTATGCTCTTCTTTGTTTTCCAAACCCACCTCTAAAATGCCCCTCCAGAAGTGATCTTTACCAGACTGAGACTAGAAAAACTTCTCTTTAGTCCTTCTTGGTTTATCCAATTTCATAGGCGCATCATCCAGAGAGATGAGATAATGCAAAAACCTCTGTCAAACAAAAAACTACCAAGACTCAAACAAAGCTGTAATTCAGTTTCCTGCCCCTGCTCTCACATCAAATAATAGAAAAGAATGGCCAAGCATTGATTCACCATGTCCTTCATTCTCAGCCTCTCATGTGTCTGCATGTAAGGATCACCCTTATACCCCTACGGAACTTTTTACATGCTCAGGGAGAGACCGGGCAGGCGAGATGAGCAGAGTAGCTGTGCTTTCGCAGGGAAGAAACTTTCAAGAAACAGAAATCATTTGACAGATAAAAATTCTATTCCTAAATTAGCATAAAACTGCTTCTTAAACCAGAATGATGTGCTTTATGAAATTATATTCTGATTCAACTGAGTTATTAAATATATGAGTAATCTCACTGCAGCCAATAATAGAGTAATATAGATTAAACTACCAGCAGTCAGCCAGAGCATTTGGAAGGTTTAGGGTAGATTGTGAGCAAGTTTTTTCTGGATTGGGCAGCAAGGCCCTCAGTTGTGTGTCTAGTATATCTCAGTTGCAAACCTACCTCTTAAGTACAGCAATATATAATACAGTGTATTTCTTATTTTCTTTTGATTCACTATTGTGGTTTAACCCAGCCAGCAACCAAGGCTCACTCAGCCTCTCAGACACTTATGCAGCAGCAGGATCAGGGAGAAAATCTGAAGGGTAAAAGGCAGAAAACTCATGAGCTGAGGTACAAAACAGTTTAATAGGGAAAACAGAAACTGCAAACACAAGCAAAGCAAAGCAGGGAATTAACCCACTGCTTCCCATGGGCAGGCAGGTGTCCAGGAAAGCAGGGCCCCATCACAGATAAGAGTTACTTGGGAAGACAGACCATCATTCCAAACATCCTCTTTTCCTCCTTCTTCCCCTGGCTTTATACATTCTGAGCATGGTGTAATATCCCTTTGGTCAGATGGGGTCACCTGTCCCTGCTGTGTCTCCTCCCAACCTCCTGTGCACCCCCAAATTCTCTTGCCATGTGGCAGTAGGAGAAGCAGAAAAGACCTTGGCTCTGTGTAAGCCTTGCTGAGCAGTAACAAAAACATCCCTGTTTTATCAAACCTGTATTCAGCACAAATCCAAAAAATATCCCTGTTCTCCCATACTTGTACTGTGAAGACAATTAACCAACCCAGGCCAAAACCGGCACAACTGTTTTGTTGTACTGTTAAATAAACAGTTACCCTCTAGACTTTTTTATTGCTAGTGACTCGGTTTTTGAGTACAAGCACAAGACTGTCTGAAACATTCTTGGTTTATTTTTAAATCTTTGTAATGCCCAGCACTGGAAGCAGCTTTTAAATCACCTAGCCATTTAATGCCTTACAGGTGCTTTGAATGAAGCAGGAGCATCTATTTATACCCCTGTGAACTGAGAAAATGCGCTCAAAGGTCTGTGATGACATCTAGCCTTCAGCGCCTTTAAAACCTCAGTGAGAAGGCATGCAGATGCAGATGCTTTGTTATGGATCAGGGAATGATCAGGAAGGACCATTTCATGCATCTTTCAGGAACACTGTCAAGCACACACACACTTCCCTTATTTTATGAAGTCATGGGAAATCTGCCATTCTCCAAAGCATCTGGATTAGTTGAATCCTGTCAATCTATACTGAGTTTTCAGTGTTCTTATTTCTCTCCAATGTATTTTTGGCTTTATTGGGAATATCTCTGCCCAAGACCAGGTTCCATGTATTGGTGAAATAGATAAAAATTTGAAAATGCTTAACTTTGTTGTCTCAAAGACAGTTAATTTTTATTTTTTTTAGGCTAATACATTTCAAACATGATTACATGATGTGGAAACATATTTAATGTTCAGATTCCTTGTCAGAAGTGATTCAATGCCTAGAAGCATTTAGAAGCTTTGAAAGATTTAATTTAGTGTATATGCAAGTACCCAAAAAAATGTGTTCTTGTGCGTGCAGGAATTTTTATAGAAGTAAGTTTTATATTACCAAAAATGATCTAAAAATATCTTCATCATGAATTAGTGCATTGTGGAGGTATGAGAATTTTGCAAGGCAATTCAAAATTTTGCTAAATGTTGTCTTCCATTTAGTACTGACAAAAAGGTGTCTGTATCTTTCCCTGACATTTGCCCAAAGGATTAGGGAAAAAAAAAAGAAAAAATGGATCAGTGCTTTGATGCTGGCAAACTAGTGCTAGAGAGCTTATCACACACAAACCAATCAATTCCTCAAAGTGATTTTCTGTATAAGAAAGTTCTGGCAGAACAACAAAAGAATGGGATAGAGTGAAGATTTGTGTATTTTTATCCTCATACCATCCACAGATAGAGCTTACTGTGGAACTAAATGGAGAAGCACTAAAGGAGAAAAGAAAACCTACAATCTGTCTAGAAAAGGTTTAAAGGGTATTCCTCCCTCTTATAAAAACACCCCAAAAAACTTTAAAAGATCCCCAGGATATCCAGTACAGGAACAGAGCATGGACAAAAACTGGGACTCCTGCTTGTCTCTCCATATGCTCAAGCCTCAGACTGATCAGGATGAATCTAGGGGATTCATCCCATTTCAATGTGCAATTAATCATCAGCAACTTCTCCATACATGTCAAAGAAATGCATATCACTGCCAGCTGTGATTTGTGCTCTTCTTAAGTTGGAACAAGAGAGCAGAATCATCCTTCATTCGTACACATCAACATGCTGCTATAAACTAAAGTGGATTGATATGGATGCAGGTCCGACATGAACTAGACAGGAATAATTTTGCATTCCAGTGTCTTTCCATACTGTTCCTAGTCATAGGCACATCAGACAGTTATGTCCTAAATCAGCAAATCCAATTTCCTGCTATCTCAGTCCCATCACTATGCGTAATCCCTTTCATGATTAAGCTACTCTTGTTTAAAAGAACTCCTTGGTCTAAAATAGGGCAACTGCTCCTTCACAGCCCTCAGCACACAATCACTTGATTCTGCTGCTAAATAGATGAAAACATGTCTCTGATGCAGAACGTCTCTGGGAATGCAGACAGGAAACATGTCCACTGAAATAGCTCCTCAATCCAGTCCATGCCCATCAGGCGTTGCCACAGTCATGCACGGGTGTCGTCAGAAACCTGATGGGAGCCAAAAGCTTCCACTGAAGTCAAAAGCAGAAGCAAGACCCACAAACCAGACTCCTCCTGAGTTGTTTCCCTAACCTGCAAACTGTTTGAGGGCAAAAGTGCGGAATAATGCACAGACCTTGCCTGGCACAGTGAGGCCAGAGATCCTGAGAGGAGTCACTGCTGCTGCTGCTGCTATGGTGCCAGGCAGTTTGTTGCTTTGTGTGCTTCAAAAAGAGCTGCTGCCAGCAGTAGCTCACCTATTGGGTGCTGCAGTAGTTTTCTCAGAACTCTCTACTCCAGCTGGTTGAAAATTATTGAATCAATTGTAGACAATATTGATATTAGATTGAAAAAGATATTAGGATCTTGTCGTCCTTTTTTTGGTATTCAGAAAGGTAATAGCTAAACAAAGTCATACAGGAACTCAAACAATTCAACCCTTTAAAAACTCACTTTTATTAAGAGACCCAAATTAAGATACAGGTATTTTCCTTGAGTTTTAAGACTTTGAAAGTTTAGCTTCTAAAATACTCTTCTAAGTATTTTGAAGTTATCTCACCTTTTCTTTAGTCTGTTCTGGACTTGGCAAAGGTAAATTTCCAATTAGTATTATCTTTTTTTTTGCTTTTTCCAGAAGCTGTACTGCATCATAAACATCATCTAATTTTATCAAATGCTTATAGGTCAGGGATCTGGCATGTGTCATTTCACCTCTGAGAGGATATTTCCAGTGAGCATAGTTTTCATTTTATACTTAAGAATGGATGTTGAGATGATTCAAAAGCTTCATGATAAATTAAAAGTGAACTTGAAAAATGTGGTTTGGCAAAAATACTGCATGATCAGTGTGTTACGGTATAGTAATCAGTAGCTGTCTAAAGAGGTGGTCAGCAGCTGTTCAGCGGGGAAAGGTCAAGGAATATGGCATGAGCTACTTTTGTAGATAAGATGGAACAAAAATATTCTCTGACAAAGAGCTGTCAAGTTTCTATATGAACCCATAACTGGAGTGACTCTTTCTGTGGATGTACACAATAACAGGATAGCATTTCTCTTCATGAAGAGGATAGTTGTGCTTATGCAGAACAAGTTGTCAGGATATCTGGATGTTGGTCCTGCCTATCTGTCCCTATGTGATTCTGGGAGCATCATTTTAATTGTATTACATGCAAAATAATTGTCAAGTTCAATGCATGCTTGTGAATGCTCTGAAACCTTGAAATCTGCAGTAACACACTGTTTTAATTCAGCTCTTATTTCTAGTATTTTAAATTGAAATAAAAGACAATTTCATTAAGCAAATATAATCTTTTTTTTCATATCGAACACACAGTGATTCCTGAATCATGGTGTTAATTTCGGGGTTGGTGCTGTGCAGTGTGCTTTGGTTCTAATGAAATAAAATGTGCATGAGTCCATTTAAGCATGAACCTTATAGTGATTGCCCTTTTGCTTAAAGCAAGCATTTGCTCAAACACAATGTGAATTGAAGGCGAAATAGTTATAAACCAGTGGATTTGATACCTGTAAGCACTGATACTTGTAAGAGATCTTCTCACTTGTAATCATTTGAAGCTGTTCTCATAGGTCAAATTCTGACTTTAAGTAACATCTTCAGTTTTGGGGTGTTTCCCCACAGAAACAAAGGAAGGAGGGAGTCCTCATTCACATTTCTAACTGTGTCAGGTTGCATAATTAAAGATAATACTCTTCCCTTTAAAAGATCTTTTATGCAAGTCACGTATTCATCATTAAGAAAAAAACATGAGCTTGAGATTATAGCATCTAATTTTATTCCACATTCTGAATCCTCCTGAATGCTTGCAAAACATTTCAGATGTGAAAACAAGTTTTAGGCATCTGACAGTCATATTGGCTATGCACCAAATGTGTGGTTTTAGTCTCCCTAATCCAGGGCACATAAGAAATGTTTTGATGTCCAGTGCAGATTTCAGGAGGAAAAATAATACAGTACATTTAAGCTTCCCTCTTTACCTTATTTACTAAATACAGTGTAATACAAGTTACAATCATGTAATAATTGCGTTGTGGAAAGTTCTACTGTAATATAATGTACACTTAAAATCCAGAGGTAAAAATTTACTCATCTAAAATTATTTCACTCTCAAAGAACAAGCAGTTTTGGCCAGCTGGGTGCACACTGGGTACGCAGATGGTAGGTTAAGTTGTCTCTTCCACAGCTCATCAAACCCACTAAACAAAGGGAGCAGGCTTGAATTCTACTTTTTGTAGGCAGGTTAGAATAGGCTGCATCACCTATCCTATAGGAAGGACACTTGAACATACTTTGGCGTGCAAAGAAATTCATCAGACTCAGAAAAACTCTAAATGAAAAAAAGAAATAAAAATATTAATGAATGAAAAGGCACAACTTTCCTTCGTTCTTCAGAGGACTGTTGTGTTAAGTCTGTAGCCTGTGGTCAGCCAAATGCAGTGTTCCAGCCAGTTCTGGGTGTGCTAGAACCCATAGTGTCTGCAGTGAAATACTCTGTAAACTCTGTAAATGGTTCTTCTTCTAGCAATGACACACATATCTAGAGATGTGTTGCACACTAGAAACGAAACAATGAAATCCAGCCAGTAAATATATGCAAAATAATTTGCCTTTACAATAAGGAATACTTGTTGTTTACAATAAGTATTGCTTATAAGCTTAATGTTTGTAGCATTATTTGCGAATGGGTGGACATTGGGCTGGAATACTGAGGTTCAGAGATCAATGTCAGTGCTCCCCAGGAGATATTGACCTCAGCAAAGGGATGCAAGCTTCCAGTCTCCAAAAGCCTGGAAAACCTGGGAGATGTTGAGCATTTTGCCCATTCCCAGAAGCTGCTGAGTCTTTGTCCCTCCCAGAAGAGACATAAGAATTTATTGAACCTACAGAAGCCCCATCAGAATCAGGAGTCCTGAGGCTGGTATTGCCCAAGCCTTTTAGAAACAACAGGTATATTTGAAAATGTGGAGTGTGGACAGCTCCTCTAGTTGTGGAAATTCTTCACCCTTAATTTGAACATGAAATATTTAACAGGAAACAGATACAATAAGACTTAATTCGGGTCCCGTTTGTCTCTGTTATTTCCAAATCCTGAATATTTTGTCACATCAGTGCAATTAGTCTCTACTAAGCCAGGGGTTAGTTTGTCATGATACACATATAAAAGTCAAGAATATATGTAAGCCTCAACTAATACTTCATCTTTATCTTCATATCCCAATTCATTATAGAATCCCTGTGTTCAGCCACAGATGTCTGAAATCTTGTTTTAGTGAAAGACAAGATTTCAGTGAATAAAAGAAAGAATTAAACGTTGGTACAATTTGAGAAAAACAATTTGAAATAAGGAAATGACTAATCCCATAGGAAATCAGGAAACTTAATTACAAAAAATAGTTGTCATTCATACTGCTTATCTGGATAACCAGAATTAGAAAAATGAAATATGAGGAGTTCTGCCCATACAGCTTCACTGAGTATTAAAATGTGACTACCTGTTCTGCTGGCTGCAGACAGAAAATTCCTTAGAATTGTCATCATGCATTTGGTATGTTGTTCAAAACTTCTTTCTGCATGAAGCTTCATATACTTCACAGTTTTTTCCCACACTGGGGAATTTTAAACAAGCATCCCTAATATGGAATCTTTTCAGATCAGATCTTTGCAATCAACAGAACAGGATGTCTTCTGCAGCCAGGAGTGCTTCCTCTATGAGGTCTGCATTTAAGGTTCCTCAGGCTGAAGTTCTTCTGGGGTTACAGCAAGAAGGTGGGTAATGGGAGGTGCTCTCTGAAAACATAACAAAAACATGTAAAATCAAAACCTCTTAAAAAAAAGAAAAGGAATAGTGAAATTTGCATTGATGTGCTGTGTATATCAATAATCTCTAGTATTATCTGTTCCTTCAAGAAATTATTTAGCTTTTATGTGGCAGCATTTTTCCCTCTAAAATAAAGAGACAAAGGCTGCAATTAAAGATACAACACTATAAATAAGCAAGCATAGAGCAGAGCAGTAAATAAAAGCCAGCACTGCAAAGACAAGTGATCTCTCAGACAGTGGGATGTCGGGCTCCATGAAGTCACTGCTACACGCCTCTTGGCAAAGTATGTCCCCTCTGCAACTGCAGCTGGAGACGTCTCAGAGATCTTCATCATGCACAGAAAATCGTGGAGATAATTGAGGTTCCTCCTAAGACGGACGTGTGTGTTTGCAGCGAGGACGAACTCAGGATTCTGGGAAGGCTTTTATGATGGATTCATAGGCAGGAGGCGGGGTTTGCGTGGAGTGGCAGATGCGGAGGTTGTTGTTAGACCAGTGGAATTCAGGTCGACTCAGGCTGTTGGTGGTGCTTCCCACAAGGGTTGTGGTGGTGTTTGTGGGAGTGAGGGTGATCAGCTGACTGTTCGTCTCCACGGGCAGGGGAGGACACTGCAGAAAAGGGTGGAAGGTGGATGCACGGAAGCTCGACTTCCTGGGGAAGGAGTTGGCCTGCTCCAAGGAGGCTTGCCGCTGGAAGGTGAGGCTGGCCAGGCTGAGGTTGCTCCGACGTTCGCAGCTGCTGTTGCGGTAAAATCCAGTCCTGCTGGCAGCGTGGCCATGGGAGGGAGGTCTGGACCGACGGCTGAAGGATGAGGGGCTCCCCTGGGAAATGTAGGCGCTAGCTCTGCGACGGGACAAGCAGGTGAAAAATGCCCAGATGATCCCTCCGATCACCAGTCCAATCACCATGGACACTGTGAAGGCTATTGTTATCTGCTCTGAAATACAGCAAAAATTAATGTCAAAGTTAATGAAGTCACTCTGAAGGATATTCCTGCAAGAAAATCAACTTAAAATTCCAGCCTCCTTAGAAGATGAACAGGCCCTTAGGTCGTTGCGACACATGAACTTCACAACACAAACACAGCAGTTGAGGGTGCTCTTACTATACAGCATTTTGGTGTTTTGTGCGGCTTTTGTGTGGGTTTTTTGTTTGTATTGGTTTGGTTTCTGGGGTTTTGGGAGGTTTTTTTGTTGTTTTTTTGGTTTTGTTTTGGTTTGGTTTGGTTTTTTTGCTTGCTTGTTTAATTTGCATAATTCAACAACATGCAGAAAATAATGTATTTAACATCAGTTTCCATACCAAGGAAAGGAAAGTCTTTAGCCTTTCCCATAATCAGCCACCCACCAGCTCCAAGTGTTATAAAACTGCCAAGTATTTTCTTCTCTGAGAAATAGGAGGTGTGGATTTAAGCAGGCTTGTCCTGGTTATAGACCTTTACATTCTGTGTGTAGGTGTTTGCAAATTCACCAGTTAAAACAGTGATGTACCTTCTGCCATGTTCTTAGTGGAGTAAGCCCTGTATTTATTACAACATGAGAACACTTCCCAGCCTTTTACTGCTGAGTAACAGATCATTTAAATCCTCACAGTAATTAATGTAAATGACTACATCCTAAATTATTATGGTCAGAGATAACCATTCGTAATACTAAATCTCTTGAATATTTCCTATCTCCAATGCCCAGTTTAAAGATGGATTAATCTGCCATTAAGAAAAGTAAATTTCCAGCTCTTTTAGAAATGTTTTCAAGGACTACAAGATCACAAAAAAAAAACCCAGGTAAACAAAACCCATGGCTAGGATTGTTTCCTCTCCCACATGGTTTCACAGGATGGAGAGACATGATTCTTCCTGGTGTATTTCTAAGAAAACAATAGTTACTTCAGAAAACTTCACTCAGTTTGCAGGTGAACACCAGCATTATTGCTGTTGTAAAAAGTTCCAAGATATATTTGTAATCCTGGATAAGGCCTGAAATGAATGCAAAACCTTTATAGATCTTCTCAAAATTCGAGAAGGGCTTGGATCTAAAACAAGAAGGAACACTATGTTGACAACTGCTGGAGCAAAGAGGGAATAAGCAAAAAATATCCATGGGGCACCTTGCAAAATGTTTGTTCTGTCTGTACTGTTCTATCATATTTGTGATAGATTTGTGAAGCATTTTTGTGAAAAAGGAAATTGTATTCATTAGATAGAGAAATGCAACTCCTAGAGCATACTGAAGAGCAGGCCCAATAACACTGTACCAGACAGAAGATATTAACTCCAGGACCGGGATGCAGACATTAGAGGCCTGAGAAGGCAAGATGAGACTAGGCTCAGAATTTTCTAGCAGCCACTAAAGAGTTTCCCCTGAATTTATGGTGCTGTACAAACTGTCATTCCCAAACCCCAGAGTAATGACAGTGAATCTGAGTTGTGGGACTCGGCCAAAGCAGGTGCTGAGTATGCGAGGAGAGTGAGTGGCCTGAGTGATAGCTATGCAGAGCAGCCAGCACAACATCAGGAGGGAGGAGAGGTGCCAGGCAGAGCCAGCAGAACTGACTTGCAGACAGAGGGACCCCAGTACTGGCACCCTGGAACAGATTCTTTTAAGTCAGCCTTAAACTTAGGACAGGTCACTTCAGGAAAGGGGAAAGAAACATTAGCTTTGCTTCCAGTAGAAGAAATGTAAATGTTTATTGGTTAATTGCACTTTAAGAGGTAGTCATTATTATCTTTCCTATCTACCTTCTTACTTTTTTCCCTTCAGGGAAAAATTGCCAGTGATGTGATTCATATTTGGAAGGCTTACAATCCTATTGTTCCTGGCCTGTAACCTCTGCTTTCAGGTAGGCTTATAACATTATCCTTTTCAAACAAAGACTGGCAAGGATAATGCATTGGATGTTGATGCAGGGGACTGCTCCCTCTCAGGAACACTTTGTCCTTTCATTCCGTTATGGATCAGACTTGACCCTAAAAGACAAATTTTCTTTAAGCTATCATTCTACAACTCAGAAACTTTTGACTGGGCACACTAAAGATAAATAGTGACTGCCCAGTCTCCTTTCTGCAAGAACCCACAGGCAGCATCCTGCACTTGGCTTCAGATCACTTATAAGCAGCCTTCTTCTCACAAGCCCAGTGTGATTCTGCCCTTTGTAAAACATCTTTAGAGACGCAGGGGGACTTAATGTGCCCCTTTTGGTCAAGAATATCTTATTATTCCATTTTCAGAGATTTAATACATTCTGTTACTGCAAGTTCCCACTCATACTCCCAAAGGTGGGAAGGGAGAGCTGAAACTTGGTGACCTCCAGTTGAATAAATCCCAGAGGGAGTCCTGAGGACAGCACTTCCCACGCACTACTGCTGTCCCTGCGTGGCTATGGGAAAGTGGCACAAGAATTAATCTTTTCTTGTGCTCATTTCTTCTGCATTTCAGCTCAAGTGCTAGTTTGGTTATATTTAAGGCTGCCAAGGAATCCCCAGGCCCAGGGCTCTGTGCTGCCTGCCACCAGATATCCCTGCAACTCTTTGGGCTCTCAGCTGGCAAAGGGCATCTCCACAGGCTCAGCAGCCTCCAGCGCAAGCAGAAGCACAGCAAGCAGCACAAGTGTACCTGGCTCTGGGGTTGCCATGCACCATGGTGAGGATTTGTCCCTGCATCCCTCAAGCCATAATTTTCACCACCTGCGCAATCTAACCAGAGTTTCACACTGTTAAAAGCAGATAAGGGAATTGACAAAAGTATTGAGTGCAGCTCTTCAGTCCTTCCCACGTGCTGTTCACCTGTGCTGGAGGTACAGCACAGACAATTATCCCTTTGGATAAAGGCGTCATTTTCTTTAACTTGTTTAGTTCTTTCATTTCTCAATCTCCATATATGATGGAAAAATCAAGGGACAAATTATACCCTGATGAAGCTCAGCTGGGTTTACACTGACTGTTTCAGTTGCCAGGACTCCATATGCTCTCTTTTCCATTTGGACCTACATTTAACCCCCTTGGTTCTTATTACAGAAGTATCACTAGACCCATTGGTTACAGACATTTCATTTTTTCTCTTCCCAAAATCTCACTGACTTCAGTTGGAACTGTGGGTCACACTAATGGGCCAAACTTGTTCTTTGCTTACTCCCTGCAGAGGATGAATTTCACAGAAATGTAATTCAGTTCTAAAACCTTATATTGTAGAATCGTAAATCTATGCCCATTGATTTCCTCTTTAGAATGTCTAGAAATCATAGCCCTGAGGTACATTTGAGAAAATATTATCAAACAGAGAAAAAATATCAAAGGCAGAGTGGGACTTTCTGCACATGATATTTTGGGTGGAACTGCTGGCCTGCACCAAATTGGTTTTCTCTTCCTTAATCTGGGCAGTGCCGGAGCAGAACTAGCCTTCCAGGGAGTCAGAGTGACTGACACAAAGTGTCTCCCAAGGGGCCATTGTAACATCTTAGGGTTTCCTGAGAGCTGTGCCTGTCGTTCTGTCTTCTGCTTTTAAGGAAAACAGTAAAAAGAAAGATCTGGGGATAAGTTAGGGATGCTGCTAATTACAACAACTACCCAGGGCCCAGTCCCCTAAATATGTTTTGATCTGTATGTTTCTCAGGCTGCTCACACTGCCTGCTTTATTTGATTATGCCATAACAGAAAAGATTAGGTACCTCACCTCAGTCAATTCTCCACTCTCACCTCTAACACCAGCCTAGGTGAAGAACAAAGGTTTTTATCAACAGTGCAGGACAGACTTTGAGGTACTAAGCCAGAAATGAAAGGCTAAGGTGAAAAAGCAACTGCATATCTTAGCCACTTTACCTTTCTATCTGCAGAACTTCCAACATGACCATGTGAAAAAGATTAGAATTTCAGAACCCACAGTATCACCCATAGCTTCTAAATGTTACCCCCAGATCTGAACACCAAGTCAGCACATTTGTCAGCCCAGCATCTATACAGATCAGGCAATTTCTTTTGAAGTCTCTCCATTCTCTCCTCTCTAGTTTCTACATGCAGTGTTAGGGAAATGTGGTGCTAGAGGTTTGTACAGGGGATTATTGCATCTACTGTGCAAAACTTTTTCTTGGTCATTGAAGCTTTCTTTAAGAATTTCATTACTCTCTATGAACTGTATATATGAAGTGATTGCATATATCCTATCAAATTGATAACCTCTTGGCAAGTGCCTATTGCAGAATCCACACTGGAGAAATTTAGACATGTTATTAGTAACATGTGATGATAGACTGGCTAGTAAGATGATTTTCCTAGCACTTGGCCTGAAAAGATTTTTTTCCCTTCTGGCCTGGACATCTGAAGCAGGGTTAACCAAATGGGGCCCATACCAATCAGTAAGCCTTCTCAGAAGTGTACCATGTTCTTTTCTTCCTCACTTTGGAGTATACCTCACCAAAAAATAGCAACACAATCATAGATGCATCAGTCCCTAAAAGACCCAAAATCTTCATAAAATAGATTTTCTTTATGTGATAGAGTATCCTGCTTCTATCATGTAGGCTTGCAGACATGCTAGGACAAACTCTTACTTCTGTGAGTTTCATTTTTTTTTTCATTTTTATCAACCATCCCTTTGAATTCAAAACACATTTGTGTTGGGGATTCATTTTCCCAAGGAATCTCTATCTTGCCCTCAGCTCTGGCTGCAATGAGCTGCAATGGGATTTTGTTCCTCAACCTCAGGAAATTCTTGGGACTTATATATTTCCTATACCCTTATGGTAAGTTCCCCAAGGTGTAAAATTAAGGTGGGCACAGGATCTTCCTTCCCCTATGCTCACTAATATATAATTTGGAAAACTTTACAGCTGGCCACAGTAGCACCTTTCAAAATCATTTAAGCAGCACCTTCAATGAGAGCATCTCAGAGAATGAACCAGGGTGGGGTGGAGGAAGATGGGAGAAAGTACTGAATGCAAGGGAAAGAGAAATGGAAAAACATCTTTTAGTCAAGTTGTGATCACATATGATGAATTAGAATTGTATCTTTGCCAGTATTTGCTAATAAAGCTAACACAGCTAATAAAGCTAATAAAGAACCACTCAGCTTTCCAAGCATCTGTTCTGCTCATTTTATTGTTAAGCACAAGAAGTCAGAAAACACCCACAGGTTGAGCTGATACCTCCACTCCTGATTTTGTTTCTAGTGAGTGACTTCCAAATATTGTTTTAGAGCTGTTAATTTTTTTTGTTGTTATTGTTATTGCATTGTTCCTATTTTATTCCAAGAGTAATAATTAAGCAGTTGTCTTGGTTTTGGCCAGCACAGAGATAATTTTTCCACACAGCCATTAGGGGGCAGAGCCTGGAGCTGTGTGGGCACTCTGAGGTGGTATTCCTCATAGGGTGGAAATAAGGAACTCTCAATTCCAGGAAGAAGGATGTGGCTTCAGGTGGGACAAAATGCGTGGCAGGTTGGGGACCTGTTGGTTCATTGTCTCTAGATCATGCCATGTCACGCTGAGTTTTTTGGGTTTTTTACATATAAATCACCCACTTTTTGTATACATTTGTTATTACTATTGCTGGTGTTGTTGTTTGTTTTCTTATCTCATTACTGTTTCCTGTAAATTGTTCTTATCTCAACCCATAATTTTCACCATTTTGTACATCCAGTTCTCAGCTCCACCCCTGGGGAAGAAATTGGAGGGGGAAGGTGCTGGAGAGTGAGTGAACAGAGTCTGGTTTGGGAGAGCCTTGGGGGGTGAGTGGGGCACTAAAGTGAGGAGTACCATTCCTAGACCACAATGGAAGTTTTATTTTAAAGTTATTAGAAGTGGTAAGGTAGCTTGTCACCCAAGGACAGCATTTTTCAGCATTTAAACTCAACATTCTAAAGAGACATTTTACTTACACTGTATTAGAGCAAGACTGTTCTTTTACTTAAACATCTGAGAGTAATTTTCCTATTTTTCTTTTTTTCCACCTGCCACAAACTAGCATGAGACATTGTACATCTGACATGCAACTTTTATTCCATGTGGACTCACTCCAGCAAGCTCAGAGGCAAAACACACAAGCTCATTGATTTCAGCTGTATTAGCAGCAAGAAGTATCAGCACATGCCACTGTGACATATAGAGGAACAGTTATTTTTATACTTTAAAACAAAATTTTAGAGTTTTAAATTTATTTCCATTCTATTTCCTGCCTTCTCACATTTTTGCTAGCTCTCTCTCCTTTATGTGATGTCATAAGCCAGTTACTCCAACCTTGTTTAAGTTGGTAAGCATTCCTCTCCCTACACGCACACACATCTGCACAAACAACTTCAGCTTGCCTTGACCCAAAGATGGAAAGCCCTGATAACTAGTAGAGGGTTTTATCCCAAACATGAAAAAATCAGCTCAGCCTCTTTTTGCTGAGATGATCTTTCCCCAAAATGAAATCTCGGTGACAAAGGCTGGTATAAATCGCATACAAACCAGTACGGGAATTCACGCCGTACACATCCATTGCACAGCTTAGTATAGAGCACCAGCTAGTGTACTAAAGCATGAATTGCATTCTACATATTACAGTTCCATTAACCTGAGAGACAATAGTTCAGACACTATTTTTGTGGAGTTTCAGTGTCTCAGGTTTCAAGGGAGGTTCAGCTAAGCCACTGGGAGATGATAACACAGTGTAAAACCTGTGTAAAACCAGACTGGAGCAGAGTTTGAACAAACTCATAGCAACTTCCTGACAGCTAGAGTGTTAAGGACACCTCCCTGTCTGACCATCCAGGAGCCACTCTGCCAGTCACACTGGCACCACCACAGCTGGAACAGAAGCCCTTCTGCAGCTACACCCCCTAACCCACACAGTCAGACCAGGTTTCCTT